GAGGTGAGGTGCAGTCAGAGGTCACAGTGATTCTAGGGAAAAGATGGGGTGTTGTTATCCGGGGTCAACAAAGCTAAGGGGAGGAGACTGCTGGCCCTGGGGAGGAGTTGGGGAGTGGTAGGGAGGTGTTGGGGAGTGGTGGGGAGGAGTGTGAGGGGGGAGGGGGGGAGGGGTCACAGTGGCCCAGGGGATGAGCGGCGCCCTCATGACCTTGGAATCACCACCAACAACATGTGAAATCGCGTGATGTATGCAGACCAAAAACAATGCCCTGCACAGCTGACACCTGATCCAGACACTACAGCCGCTTACACCCCCCCCCACCTCCACATTCTGGCTCTCAGGTGCTACTATCTCTCTCTCTCTTTCTCTCTCCTCGCTTTCTTCGTCCGTCTTTGTTGTGTTACCTAACTCGTTCTCTCGCTCTCTTTCTCTGCCTGACTGTCCTCTTTTCTTCAGTCTTTCTTGTGTTACCTAACCTGTTCTTTCTCACTCTCTCTCTCTCTCTCTCCTTCTTCCTTAATGTCCCCATTTCCTCGTTTCTTGTGTTACCTAACTGGTTTTATCTTTAGTACTTATTCTCTCTCCATTCTTTACTCTTCTTTTTTTTACCTCACCTTCTCTACCCATTATGTTTCTCTCACACTGTCTCTCCATTCTTTAATCACCACTTTCTGCATTTTTTGGGGCTTAATGTTTTCTATTGACAGTGCTCTCTCTCTCTCTCTCTCTCTCTCTCTCTCTCTCTCTCTCTCTCTCTCTCTACTCTTTCTCTCTCCATTTTTCGTCTATCTTTTGTTGCCTAACCTAACCTAACCTAACCTATCCAGTCCATAGTATTCTCTCGTCCCTTTCCTTGCATTACCTAATCCATTTCATCAACAACAACAATAACCTTTCCCTCTTCCTTCCTTAATCTCTCATCTCTTCATCTCCCTTGTGTTACCCAATCCGTTTTACTACTGTACTTACTCTATATCTCACTCTTTCCTAACTGACTCTCATATTTCCTCACCTTTCTCGTGTAACATAACCTAACCTTACCTAACCTAACCCAGCTAAACCTACGCAACCCTAACCTAACCATAAAGATTCTTCACCCTCTTCATTTAGCCTTTACCATCGGTCAATGGGTCAGTTTCTCGAATCCATCTCCGCCTCCTGGACTAAACTTCACCTCAACAACTTTTCAAAAGACTTTACTACGTATTTTCTTCCCTCAAAATAGGAGGACTTTAACCTTAGATTTTCACAACAGTTTTCGAAGAGTTTACGTCTCAGGTGTGCATCATGGACTGGACGCAGGAGGAGAGCAATTTGGGACCAAAATATGTAGCAAAAGGTAGGCGGAAAATAAAGAATAAAAAAATAATGAAACGAGGAAGTGAAAAAAAATGTGAAGAAGAGAGGAACAGTCTGCCCAGGTGGTGCAAACCCGATAAGACAACAGGAAGCGAAAGATATGAACATTTATAATTCCGTGGTAGATGGCAGGGGGTACAGGGAAGCCTAAGGAGAAGGGATAGAATAGCAGTGTGTGTAAATGAGCGGAAGAACGTGCTGTTGATGGCTGTTGATGACTTAAACGAAGCAACAGGGAATTTGAAGCCTTGTTGTGAAAGGGAAGTACCATAGCGGAAAACATCTATTACAGCAGTGAGAACATGAGTACGTACTTGTTCTTGTTTCCCGCCACTCTGAACTTAGCGGGAGAAGTCTTGAAATATTTACTGATAATGACATCTTGGGAATATTAACATCGGCTTGTTATCACTTGCAATGACTCGTGATGATGAACTTACAATCATGCATGACCTAGATAACTCCCTAAGCATATTATACACACGATGATTCTACGAGCTGGAAGAGAACCAAGTGCAAGGACTGGCTCTGAGAAAAGGAGGGAGACTGGCACATAATAACAGTCAAGAAGATATCTGCTTACGCAAGTGGCACTACTTCAAAAAATGCGTCAGTCTTAGGGGGAAAAAAAAGGCGTCGCGTTTTTCTCTTGCCTTTCTCTTTCGTCCTTTTTGGGTCATGAGAGCTGGAAGGAACGTTGTGTAGCTCAGTGGTTCTCTCGTGTTTGTTCCACTATACTGTACAACACACACACACACACACACACACACACACGCACACGAATCAATATATATCATCGGTATCACTGAACACTGAGTACCAGATACTATCACAAAAAGTAACCATCAAAAACGAATGTACAACACAATCATTCTAAGGCCAATAATGCCAAAATACCTGAAATATGCCCCTATGCCATCCTTTCAAAGTAACCTGTCCACTTGAAATCACAGTTAATGCAGGAAAATACAAATGTCAGGTAGCGAGTATTACTATTCTTAAGGTCACTTGTTTTAATGGCTCCAGCAACTGATAATTATGTGCAAACTATAATCCTTTCCAAGCTAACCTGGCCCGTAAGCCCCGCCCCTCGTCTATAGCTACAAATAGTTGATTGGGTCCCCTGAGATGTTCTCTCGAATTCCCCCACCCCCTCGACTGCACGTATGTAAGAGGGTATTTATTTCGACCTTTTATGGTAAATATTTAAATTTTTCTAACATCCTCTCTGAAGTGCTAATGCCTTGAAATGATTTGCATTTTGATAGTTGAGGTATTTTAAAAAATCAGCTATTAGTATAGAAGAGAGGCGTGGCTTATGGGCTAGGTAAGCGTGGAAATACTATAGTAGTGGTGGTGATGGGTAGTGTGGTGGTGATGGGTAGTGGTAGTGATGGGTAGTGGTGGTGATGGATAGTGGTAGTGATGGATAGTGGTAGTGATGGATAGTGGTAGTGATGGATAGTGGTAGTGATGGTGTAGTGGTAGTGATGGATAGTGATAGTGATGGATAGTGATAGTGATGGATAGTGATAGTGATGGTGTAGTGGTAGTGATGGATAGCGGTAGTGATGGTATAGTGGTAGTGATGGTATAGTGGTAGTGATGGTATAGCAGTAGTGATCGATAGTGATAGTGATGGATAGTGGTAGTGATGGATAGTGGCAGTGATGGTAGTGGTGGTGATGGATAGTGATAGTGATGGATAGTGTAGTGATGGTATAGTGGTAGTGATGGTATATGGTAGTGATGGATAAAGATAGTGATGGATAGTGGTAGTGATGGGGTAGTGGTAGGATGGGTAGTGGCAGGGATGGATAGTGATATGATGGATAGTGGTAGTGATGGTATAGTGGTAGTGATGGATAGTGATAGTGATAGGTAGTGATGGGTAGTGGTAGGATAGTGATGGATAGTGGTAGTGATGGGTAGTGGTAGTGATAGTGATGGATAGTGGTAGTGATGGGTAGTGGTAGTGATGGGTAGTGGTAGTGATAGTGATGGATAGTGGTAGTGATGGGTAGTGGTAGTGATAGTGATGGATAGTGGTAGTGATAGTGATGGATAGTGGTAGTGATGGGTAGTAGTAGAGATGGTGGGCAGAAATAGGTAAAGGTGTTGTTAGTAAGCATGAGATAGTAGTAATAGTAGTAGTAGTAGTAGTAGACAGTGTTGAGGGAGGGCCGGCACGAGACCTGAGTGTCACACGTGCTGTACACACAAGTCACGAGTGTACTGTATAAGGTCATGCTCAAGGTGCCCCAACCTGGAGGTCAAAAGCACAAACAACACAATGGCCGAATCCGGTAGAGAGTGCAAGCTTTCGTCCAGTTACAGAGTCGAGCTGCTGTCTTCCCTTACCCCAGTTCTTGTAACACTTGTAGTTCATCTCTTACAAATAAACCACCTCAAAGTCATCTACCGATAAGTTCAATCAGCCTTTTCATCACAGACAGCGTAAAGAAATCGTGTTCGTGTGATTTACTAACATGAGGTGGTGGGGGATATATATACGGGACGAGTTAACAGTCCGCTTTATGACAATTCAGGAAAAAAAATGAAGATAAAACATTCTTCCCATGGTGATTGTTTTTCTTTCCCTTGGGTGTCTTTAACAATGGCCTCCTCGCTGTCTGGCTGAACCACTTAGTATAGGACACATACATTTACATTAGAGGCTAAAATAACTGTTTGGGGGGGCTAAGGGGAGGACACGTCACATAACGGTTGAGTTATCAGAGCACACATCACGAGAGTGGGAGAGATGAGGAGAGGGGAGGGGAGAGAGGGCTGGTGGGTGAGTGCCACAGCGTCACGTGAAACGGGGATCACGGGTTCAGGGGTGAGTGTTACCCATGGATGGCCACCCCACAATGCCCAGTGGTACCCCTGTGGCTGTGCTGTATCTCACACCAAGACTACCCTCTCACTTTTCTATTGTTATGTTCCCACAACTTTCAGCTGTATTAAATCGGGGTCCGGATTTTAACTATTAAATCTCATTCCGGTTTTTAGGTGCATTAGATCTAGGTCTTAATTTGAACTCGTCCATAATCGGTGAAGGTAAGCATCGTTTGGGGTTTTGGTGGTAGAGCGGCAACTCGTTAATCTCTCATCACTGTCAGGAATTGGACAATAAAAGTCATAACAAAGTAACAAAGACCAGACCAGCCACCCGAGCGGCTAGTGGGGAAATGATTAGTTAACAGTTAAGGTTGCCGCCCGTCCGTAAGAAAACATTGCCATTCGCAGGGGTGACTCGTCAAGATGGACTGGGTACTACTCGGCGCTCATTGGGCCACTCCCTGGCGATGGTTGCATCCAACAGTAAGCTGATAACAGCTCAATACAAACACACATACACACACACACACACATAGAGTCAGAGTATAGTTATAATTATGCTCTAAAATTACTCAAACGATTATATTTACTGTACCATTATTTACCTAATGGCCGTCACTAACGGTGGCCAGTGGCCTGTGTAGGATCCCTCCATTGTTCTTGATAATTTTGTCAAGGGCTATTTTGAACCCCAGTACTGTTTTTGATTCCACAGTTTGGGCTGGTAGACCGTTCCATATACTAAGGTTAAAAACATAAAACCGTGAAGAAAAATTTTAACAAATAACACTCACCAGCAGCTGTCCCCAGGCACCGTCAAACAGCTTCAGGATGCCACTAAACACAAAATCTGTCAAAAAAATACAAATATTCTGTAAATTTTATACAGTAACTACTTCCACAATATATATCACACTGTCATACACCTAAAAACTCATCCAAATAGACAACATACAAACTAAAAAATACAAATAAATAAGAATTATACAAAATTAATGAAAGCAAGTCGGGTGAATGGTTACAGTAGATTGAGTGGATATTAAAGCAAGCTATTAGTGTTCCTCTCCACATCTGATGCTCATGGATACGTTGTGTGTGAAATTTTGCTGTGAAAAACTTCATAAAGACAGCGAGGAGTTAACAATTTTGCTGTGATATTATGTTCGATGAAGTTACAAAATCGTGTTTCATCTACACTGTAAATCCCACGTTCACACACAAATAACAACGCCTCTCGCGGTTCTTGGGATGTGTCTGAAAACATGGTAATTCGCCATTGATTATCGTATATATTGGCCTGTAAATCAACCTCATATTGGGTATTGATACTTAGGCAAAAGAATCTAAAAAAAATACAGATTACTGATAAATCGTAAGAAAACAACATTAATACCCAAAATTAGGGATCATGTCTCATACCGAATGAAAGTGAAAGTGGGGGTCCAAATTACAGCTCACCGATTGCTATATAACATTTCAATAACACCAAATCGTCCTCATATTATCATCGCTTCAGGTGAAAATTCCATAGTGAGTGTGTATCGAGCTTTGTCGTTTCGTTCATCACCCATCCTTTCTTAAGTACCACGACAGCCTTACTAAATGAGAAAAATGCTATGTTGGTGCAGTGAAAAATCATACAATCGATCTAGGTCAGAAAAATTGTATCATATGCCGCTAATCACACATTTAAAGGTATAGTGAGTGTTAGATGAATCCCTGACCATTGAACCATTTAGGTCATAGAGATTTAAGACATTTTTTTTATACTGAACTTCAATGTGGTGGTAGATCTTTATACACCTTAGTTTTGACCTCTATAAGGGTCAACCATGAGCAATAATAGTTATCTCATTGTCTCTAATCAAAAGTCAATTATATGATAGGAACAGGTTTATAAAATGATGAGAAAACAAATATACTGATGGATTACCGGGAACACGACATAACAACCAACGCTTTCACCGCTAATATTAATCAAGATTTTTTCATTGTATTAAAAAAACTCGCATTCACAAAAATTATTAACTTCAGATTCCCCTGTCAAAATAAAGCTTCCGTCGGATATGAGGTACTAGTTTTGGCATAAATAATAATAATAATAATAATAATAATAATAATAATAATAATAATAATAATAACAAAGATACTGCATATACAAACACGTCGGTTCAGGGTCTAATCCTCTAAAACATAAGGCTCGTGTTTTATAGTAGTTCCCCTCTTCCCTTAGCAATGTGAGCCACGTGACCACCATTACCCTGCCTCAAGTGGCCACGCTCAGGACGTGGTGTGTATGTTGTGGTACAGAGAGAGAGAGAGAGAACCACTTTCTCTTCTTTCACGAGTCCCAGGACCTGCCAGGTGTAATCTAGTATAAGCTGGATCTCACTTAACCTAGATCCACCAAAATAAACCGTTCGTATACAGTAAAGTTTACAGAGTCTACATAGTTGTAATTCTTTTAGGCTCGTGTTGCAGCGTGTGTATATGTGTGTTTGGGTGTGCAAACGTGTGTGTGTGATGTGCATGTGTTTTGATGTGAATATAAATGATTGAGTGGTTAAGTACGTATGTGTGTCCGTGCACGCAACAAGTACCGTCGACCTTGTGTGTGGATGTTCACTATCCCATAACTACACCATTGTTTGTTTACTGCAATGCATTGTGGCGGGAACCCGTGGTCGATTCAGCCATCTTTGTTTAATCACATTTGATTTACATGAGCTGCCTGACCTAGCTGCAGTTAATTGCCGCTAAAATGTTAGGAGTAAACGCCTGTGAGTCGAAATGTGTTTCAACGACAAGGCGAACGCCGCCTTTATCTATCAGCTGCCAGCCGATGATAAGAAACTATGTAAAACTCTACAGACCGAATCTAAATGGACCAGCGTTTCCAGCTTCCATTTTTCAGGTGGGCAGAATACGTGTCTAAATCCAGCGAAAGTTGCGTTGTTAGCTGAATGGCCTTTGGTGGTCGATGAATTCAACAAGAAAACACAACTTCAATCCTCTGACTTTGAAACCACAAAGACAACGAGGCGAAGAGGAATCCTGAAGCCATTGACTTTCAACGGCCGCTTCAGGCGTGTACATCTAAATAATGTGCAAATAGCAATTAGTCACTGGATCTTCTTTGTTTGATGACAGAAACAGATGATATGTTGTAGTGTTATGTGCTGATTAAAAAAACACAGCTTATGTGTGTCTTTGAGAAACGCTATACTGCCTGTGCCTTTTAAGTAAAAGATTTTAATGCAGGATGAATCTAGGAGCTTATCTATTCCCGTGTAACCCGAGGCACCAGTCTTAAGTTTATGAATAACAAAGAGAGCGTGGATTACTTGGGGGCAGTGTGGATACAGCTGACTAAATAGTAAGAAATAATAATACTTATACATTCCTGCCGAATAAAGAACTGCAATTTTGCTCCATCTCTCCTCTTCAGTCTTTAGTTAACATTATTCCCTCTTTTGTTTGTTTGAGTCTCATTCGGTCCAAAACACATGTCCTTCTATAATGTCTTACATATAATCTAATGGGATACAACCACAGGGAAGCCTTAAGATGTGATCCTAATAGTTTACCTCCAATAATTTCTTGCAAGTGAACCACAAGGCGATTCTGATTGTATTTTTTATCTAATTCTTATACCCTTATCTTCACCGCTAAAACACAGTATTTTAACAGGTACAAGTATCATCATGCTTATTAATCAAAACATCGACTCATTGTCATAACCTCAACAACACTTGAAAGCATTAAAACTCTTGCATTAACTACAAACAAATTTCCCATCGCAAACCACACCGCTTCCTCATAAATCATCTATATGGCATTCAAAAGGCCTTGTCACCAGGTAGTCGATTTTTCCCGAACTGTTCACAGCAGCATCTGATCACCTCGTTGAGACTAGTGACTCTTTCGCAATGGCTCTTTGGTATATGTAAATGTCATTGGCAGAGTATGGCATTAAGATTACCTTGTCACCCTCTACCCTCCTTAGATATTTCTGTCTTATCTGAACGCTTCATCCCTATTGTCACCGACGGCTCTACTTCTTCAACTTTCCCAATCATATAAATGGTCTTCCACACGAAGCTATTCTTACCTCCTCCTCTCTTTGTACTTCGTTGGTGATTCTTCCTTTACTTTATGACACTGTTAGAAAATCCTATAAACACACCTCCACACAAACGTATAACCAAAAGCAAACAAGATCATGTTAATAAGAAAAATGGAAATTTATTTGTTTATGTTTAGCACCTGTCGACATGCTTATGTAAACACAAACACACGAGTACAGTACATACCTAATTAACAAATAAACAATGCCCATGCACAGCTTACTGACACCTAACGACAACCTAACTACAACAACCACGGAAAGGGGAGGTAAGTCTAATATGATTATAGTAGTAGTAGTAATAATAATAATAATAATAATGATAATAGCAACTCATGCATCTACCACAGTAAGAACAGATATATCAATATGTTCTTAAACTCACATACATGTACTTGTACTAACAATAAAATCTTATCGATGTCGAAGAAAATATACGCACACAAACTATAAAATAATGCAGAGAGAGAAAATCGTAGTCGTGTGTTCATTTTTGACGCAGATCCCGGCTGAGCGCGCGCGCCCATGAGCTGACAATAGACCACTTAGCCAATAAGTCCCTCACCTCCAGGTACGACGGCACAAAAATTGATGAAATTTGTGATTGCAAAGGTCAAAAAATATTCTTTTTTTCCCCGAGAAATGTATATCTCGATCGATAACCTCTGACAAGTAAACAATCAGGCACATGAGGAAACCCCCACTGCATTCGACATCTTTGCTCAATAATACAAATGAAAACAATGGAAGAGATTTGATATATTGGCAAATGCGCCTCTGTTCTGATGAAGATAATAAGAATCTGGGAGACACATTAAGTGCAATTCTGTTTGTCTTTATGTGCATAAATAAGTGAGTGCGTCTCACTGTATATGTTTACGGGTGTCTCGTTGTCTCCCGTACTACGATAACACATCGTTATAGGTATTCTCGGTAAACGTACTGAACATAGATACTTCATGTCTTTACTATAACCAGGCGAGTCAGTTTTGAAAAGTATTAGCTTTATATCTTTACTATGAACGAACTAGAAACCTTCTCTAAAAGATAAATATAAAGAAGTTTTGATTATAAACTAAAAAGGAAGAATTAAAATGCGTGTAGTGGCGAAGTGCTGACAACCGAGAGTATGTAGTTACACAGCGTCTGTAAATACTGTGCCTGGGATTCACTATTGCTTGTTAGCCAACGTCGTATCAGATATATATATATATATATGCAGATTATATTACGGTCCCGATTACTAAGAGCTGTTGAGATAAAGTAAGACAATGAACACTCGTAATTGTTATGTGTAATGAAATTTATGATACCAATAACACCCTGCAGTCAATAACACCTCAGGTGGGAGCCTTTCTTTCTGCAGGATTCTTTTTCATAGTAAATAATATAACGTTTCCCTTATTACAAGACGTGTTAGTCTGTAGAAATTTGTTATTAATATTGCTGTTAATGCTTATTCTAGGTTTGTTTCCTACCTGGTGTAATTCAAAAGGCGAACACGACAAAAAAATGCAAAAAAATATATAATTCCTCGACAAACGGAGGTGAATTATTGAATGAGTTATGAGAATATCAAATTCGAAATAAGGCTTCCTGACATAAATTAATACAACATAGAGAATAATCTGGGGTTTACGTTCGAGAAGGGAAGTGATGTACAAACAGAGGTCCCATTAACCTTTAACAATCATTTTATTGGCAGGTGTCGCATCTCCTCAGCC